TCTCAGTCACCTATTTCACTTTCTTCCATGTGTCATTCCTCTGAACTCCCCACTGCCTCTTACCTTCCTTTTCTGAAGTGGAGTTTGAGAGTTCTTACTACTTTCCAGTTCATAGCTACTGTAGTGGTGGACCATGGAGGCTTCCTCAGGAGTGTAGCATGAATATAGTAACATTAATTCTCTCTACACTTTCTTGAAAAGAGGACAAAGCTGGGAACCCTCTCTCCTTCTCCCTTCTAGGTTATTGTTCGTGGAGGGAGCTGGATTAGCCACCACTGGATTGTCCTCATAATACTGAATTCAGGTTGATAGCATCTTGTTCTTATGGTTGAAACCAGTAGATGCCATTATCTCTGTACTTCCGGTTGCAAGATGAATTTTCCCTGCTTCTATGGTTAAGCTTGGGGGACTTCATCTGTCTCGTAATGCTGGTGCACATGGTTTTCTTTCCTGCTCTTATGGTTGAGTGGTTCTTGCTTGTAATACTGGCTACAGGAGGAACCTCTGTTCTTACTATTAAGTTGAGATTCACACACTGCCCCATAATTCCAGGTTCAGTTTGGTGTGTTTCTTGCCTCCTACAGTTGATGTGGAAGTTTGTCTGGTCATCACTATTTGCTTGCTTTCTCATTGTAATTCTGGTTGCTTCGAGTATGGCACTCTGTTTACTTGCAGTTGGGGTTAGTGTATTTCTATTGTTCATGATCCACTTGACCTGGCGTACGTTACATGGTATGTACTTAATTGATTCTTTGGCACTGTCCTCCACCTGATAATACTGAGGATGGGACGTGGAAACCCCTCTTTCCGGTTGGGGTTGGGAAAATATTGCCCCAATGTTTTTTGGGCCTTTTGTTATTGGTTTGGTCATCAATGCCACCTATTTCATGACCCCTCATTTTTAGGGTGAAGGACATACCTGTTCCAGAAGTAGTGCAGTCCCCCTCATGTGTGCTTTCATTCAGTTACTGTGCACACCTGTTCAATTCCCTGTGGACAAATTCCATAGGGTGTCTCTTACTTCTATGTTACGCTGGTCTTTCTACATCCTGAATGTGGGATCCTAGAGAAGAGGTATGTATTGTATTGAAAGTTATCATTTTCCTACACAGAAAATAGATTTCCAATAGATACTTAGATGTAAGAATCTATTGGAAATCTATTTTCACCTTAAGAAAATGATAACCATGTGTTATTTAAAAACAGACAAATTTCAAAAGATACTATGTTAAAATAACAAGTAGAAAATAAATGGTATGCTTACATGCCACACTTTTTCTCTCCTCTACTCTTCAGGCTTGTGCTCAAGCCTTCAATCAGTTCTAAACTTTAAAATCAGTAGACTTGGATGCAAACTGGTCATCGAGTAACTTTATCTTGCCTTTATAAATACACACAACACAAACGGCACATCCCTTTAACAATGAATTAACAGATAAATTAATAATCTTGTATAATAATACACTCTAAGAAAGAACAAAATAATCATAACTAAAACACTTTAACAAAGAAAATCAATACATAATACAAAAAAACGTTTACCATTGATACATAGTACAAAATGATAAATAATTTGATATCACGAGAAACACATCTGAGGGTCACGGGTTTGAATTTATGTCATTGAATATGCTCACCCTTTCAGCTGTGGGAGGATTATAATCTAATGGTCATTTCCACTATTCATTGGTAAAAGAATAGCTGAAGAGTTGGCGGTGGGTGGTATTGACTACTTGCCTTCTTTCTAGCCTATCGTTGCTAAATTAGGGATGGCTAGATCAGATAGCCCTTGTGCAGCATTGGACAAAATTCAAAACAAACCACACAAACAAATGAGAAACACTTTAATGCAGAAGAAAATGAGACTAAATATGAAATACAGTACATAACTAGAAAACATTTAACCCTTTTAAAAATTTAAATAGAAAAAATAAAAATAAAAAGAATTTGAAAAAAAAACAACTTTTGCACAAAAACTTCCTAATAATAAATCGTATAGTCATGCTAAATAAAACCCTTTACCAAATATAATGTTAAAAAACAAGATGAACCCTTAGTAACAAATACTAAAATATATAGATATCAATAAAAGCACTTGAAAACAAAATCACAGTGAAACATGGCAAAACATAAAATAACCCGATGAAACTTTTTTGAATGAACGGCAACTGCCTGTTGTAGAAACCCAAGGACGACGTTTCGAAAGTCTTCCGCCTTTCGTCTTCAGGTCAGTGTGTGTGTGTGTGGTGTAGTTGGTCTTTATAATATTCTTGTGGATTATGGAGAGGGTTGATTGGTTTATCCCTCTTCCTGATTGGAGGAGAGATTTCCTGTACATTCAACCAATGGTAGCCACAGGTTACTAAACTCTAACCCGGAATCTCTGTTTAGTGAAGGTTTAATTGTGTTAATATAAAATAACCCTTTGACAGTTATCACCCACACAAAAAATGATAAGAAACAGCCCTGTAAATCTAAATTAAAACACATTATCATGCTTATTGATAAAGAAAAAATGCAGATAACTCTTAAATACACAAATGAATGAACAAAAGAAAGCATAGATACAAAACATATGCACATAATAGATAGCACAAGGTCACATCAACACTGTCAGCAGACCTTCGAAAGGTGCAGTTGACCAATGACTGGTCATGGTAGTGGCATAGTGACATAGATGATGTTCCCGGACCAGATTAAAGTTTTTCTTTATCAAAGAGTGGGGGGGGGGTGTCCCTTCAGTACAACTGGTCCTCCTGTCAAACTGTCAAATATACAAGGACCAGGCCTGCATTCACTTTGTAGTCATCTGGCAATACTACTTCAGTGTGAGAATCTGTTCTAAGATTAGTTGTATGATAATGATGGTATGTGGGGAGTTTAGTTAGTTGGTTCTTGGCTGCCATTGTGGTAACTTGTGGGACATCTTGGCAGCAGTGGCTTTGTTGCTGTTGAGGTGGAGACTCCACTCATTCACCATTGCTGATGGTGGTACATACACAGTTTTGGTGCTATAGGTCATCATTTTGCTGGTGACAGTGAATGTAATCAGCATCATTGCCATGGCTGCAGGTACCAAACTTATCTATTTGACCCTTGAGAAGACTTCAGCTCTGAGAATGTTTTTTGGGGTGGATGTCCAGCCCTTGGGAATTTAAGAGATAGTTTGAAAACTAAAGCAACATAGCAAAGTCCCACACATCAGATACATCTTCATCCATGAGCTGGGCAACATTAGTCACTGGGCCAGTACTGGGAATGTTAGGATTGGCTGCATGTGCCTGATCTACACCAGACAGAAAGTTCTGGGCATATTGACTCTCCTCATACTGGTTTTCCATCATGCAGTCATTCAGAACAGTGGATCAGATTCACTGGATAATTGAATAACAATAGAAGAATCAAAAATTCAATCTTAAATAGCAAAAGTCCAGAATGAAAATATAATGTCAGATAAATTCTGATTGTCAGCCATATAAGAAGGTTGTTAAGAGGGTCGTTGACTGCCATGTTACAACCATATTATTTTCTAAAACTACCATAAGAGACAAGATGTTAAAATAATTACTCTGTTCAAGTGGAATTTCTATGGGCTTAATATGTAGTCGTGCCCTATATTCCCATAGAATACATATCTCTAACATCTGTGAACTTGTCAGCCCCCCACACCCCAGGCTTCACAAGTACATAGCTGAGCTTCCCTTTCTTTTGTAAAAAATGCCATTTGTTAAACTTAGATGGCTTTTGAAACTTAATAATACACAAGTACAAGCTCTGGGCAGTGCACATTTCAGGAGCTAATAGCAAACTCTGCAATAACAACATTCTATGGTCGTAGCCACAATATATTTTTCTTACCTATCCACTGTGGTATATTAATTTGAGTGTAATATAATTTTAAGCTTCACTCTATAGGTCTTCTTGATAATTGGAAATTTGCTCAAGATATTGGTTACAGAGTAATATAAACCTTACTTAACTGAGCTAATGTTAAACTGAATAATAAGGTTGTAAAAAAGTATACAACAAAATGAACAATATTTATTAATATATGCCACACAAATACAGTGTGTATACTTTTACTAAATGTTCTCGACTTCAGATCATGCACCAAATTTAAAGGAATTTTGTATCTTGCACCCACCAACCCCAATCACTTGCAAAGTTGGCAGTAATACCCATCATACTATGAACTACAGCATGGCTGGTCATCCTTGTTACTCATAGGTGGAGCCATAACCTTTAGATATCAACATTAAAACTATGGAAACTGCTGTTGATAGCCTTATACAAAGTCACATTATGTAGTGTTCTTGATGGGTGGTAACAGATATTATCAACTATGAGAATAACAAAGAAATAAAGGCAACTTGCAACATAATGAACTTAATGGTTTTCTTGATCACATGTCAGGCAAAACCTGTACATATTCAAAACAAAGAATAGATTCAAATAACTATTTATAATACCACTAGAAGATAGAAACACATAGGATATTCATATACCACACGAGTAAAGCAAACTTTGTGTTTCAAGATATAAGTTAATTTTAGTATTTTAGCAAAATGGAGTGTCCCCACAGGCAAATTTTGTTTAGTAGTTTTGCTTCACTCTTTCACTGCCACAGGCACATATATGTACCCCTCTATAATACTGGCATAGGAGTATGGAATTTTGTACCACCATGAAGAAAGGGTTTATATACCCTTTTAAACTTTGGGAAGTATTTACTTTCAAATTTCTCATAATTTACTAATTTCAAGTTTTTTTATAAGTAATGAAATCTTTGAAAATTTTTAACTGTGTATTTAAGAATAAATTGGTACTGAGAGAGAACTGTACTTCTATAAATGTGTTAAAAAAGTAATTTTAAAGATTTTCAGCTGTTTGCTATTGTACTGTTATTAGTAGGAACTATGAAAATATTTCCATGTTACTGAAATGTAAATGTTCAAATAATTTTGTTGGTGAAATATTTCATGTGTCTCACCTTATTGTAGCTTCTGGATGACCTTTGTAAGAAAAACAACTGGGGAGAACCTGTTTTCTGTCCAATCTCAGTTTTTAGTAATGAACAAGGTGATAACAATCATCTTTACAGCTACAAGGTTTGTAATAATTTTTTAAGTTGAAACTGGTAATACTAGTGATATTGAGTTAGGGATGGAATGAATTCTGAATAACTTATATATATTTTGAGTATCAAAATGAAATTTATAGTCAAAATTAGTCAGTTTTCTGTGACTTTTTAGTAAGACATTTCTCACTTACCAACAACAACAACAAAAAGTTAAAGCTAAGTACATGTTTTCACATCCATATTTTTATCCAAGAAAAATGTGAAATAATTTAACAGCACACACTAAATCATGAGGTAAACCATTCTATAAATGTCTGTCTTTGCACACGTTTCAACAGGTGTGGCATAGTGGTTATCATGCTGAACTGTGAATCAGAAGATCCATGGCTTGTGCAGTGATAGTATGAATATTGATATTTTACCTAATCCAAATTTTAAACTGTATATGATAAATTCTTATTTATAATGCTGCAGTCAAAGTCCAAAGCTGTTCCATTAAGCCTGATCAGTTTTACTAGATTTACTGTAGCAGGCTACATACACAATTATTTTTAGTTATATACTATTATCATTATTTTTTATTTGCACTTATACTTTGTATTGAACATTTATTTTTAAGAGTTTAAAAGAGACTGTTTCACAAGATTTAATTTCTCATTTAACTGAAAAATGAAATTAATTACCTTAGGTAAGTACAGACAAGTGTGCCTACCCTAGCTAGCTAATACTTGTTATTATTCAAATTAGCTACTGGCTAGATAAAAATTTGAATAGTCAAAAATGCAAAAGAAAAAAGTCAGTGCTGGATGAACTTCATGCACCTTAGCACCTCTGTAGCAATAATATTACAATTCCTAACTTTCATGCAGGTCTTGCTTAAAATACATTTTTTTATATTATATTCTAACCATCTGTCTTGAATATGATAGTAATCTTTACAGGATTTCTTAACAACAACTTCTCTGACTCAAAAAAAAGCCAACTAAAGATTTTCAAATGGTGGATCTTCATGTACTTTTGTGGAAGAATGTTACAATAAATGCTTATTAAAAGCTATTTGTGTTTTGCCTGCTACAACTGTTAGAAAATGATGTAAATCTTGTTTCGAAATTTTAAGTTTTTCCATGAGATTGTTTTTTTTTGAGATGGCAAATTCTATATTTTTATGATTATTGTTCGTTTATTATCTCCTTCTTCTGTTTAGTTTATCTATGGCATTTTAGTTGCATTAGAATGCTAACTTATCTTCTACATAATCTTTTGTATTTGGAGTAAATATATATATATATGTGTGTATGATGAAACTGACCCCAGCTTCCCTGGCAGTGATGAACAGATACTATTAATGTAGCAGAAGAGGATGTAAATTGATGATCATATGAGGTTGTACTCTTGTGTCCTATTCTATGAATACATACCCTGCCTGAAGCTTCGCTAAGAGAGAGAGCGTCACGAGATAGTTATTGAAGGATATAGTTATTACTGTTTGTCACTCGATATTGTTATCAATATTGATATTGAAAGGTATTGTTTGAATATTGTACTTTTTGTATTTATTTTTTGGAATTAGGTTTTTCTGATTCTGTTATTATTGATTTATTAATATTTATGATAAATTGTTTACTAATATTGGTGTGAAGCCTTGGCCAGACATTTGTTTATTTATTGTGTTGAAGTTATTTCTAAGTGTTGTTATTGTGAATAAATTGTGTTTTTGTTGTTGGACCACGATTGTAGCAGGGTGTTGATTTTAGACTGTTACCTTAGTACCCAAACAGGGACCTTTTCATGAAGGTTGAATTGTGACTTTAGATTTTTTTTTGTTTCTCAATTTGGTAATGAGTGACTACTAATTCAGCAATAATTTAAGTTCAGTTAAATATATGTTAACTAGTGTTTGAAAATAATTGTGTTACTATGGGAGTTAGTGAGTCTGATGTGGTTAGCTTGAAGCAGTCTGTGTTAGTTTTGACAGAAGAGGTGGAAATGCTGACATGTATGGTGAGTGATCTACTAGCGAGAGAACCTAAGTCTCCCTCTCCTAATCTCAAATGCTGAGAGTCCATTCTACCTACAGACTTGTGGAAAATTCATCGATTTACGTCACTGCAGTCAACCCACCACCCTTGCCTGTTGAGAAGTTAGATGCTAAGTCGGATTTTAATGTCATGGAGTTTCTTAAAAGTTTAGAAAGACATTTTTATATGTATCAAGTACCTGAGAATAAATGGGTGGGAACTGTGGCTTCTTGTTTGAGGGGAGGGCCACTAGCACTAGAATGGTGGAAGGCTTTTGGATTAGAAATGGCTTTTTAACACTGGAGAGAATTTAAAGAAACATCAACTAATTTGTACCCAGTGGTGTTAGATAATATTGAATTGGCTAAGGAACTCTTTAGCAGGAAGTACCACGTTAATGTAGGAGAGTCAGTTGAGACATTTATTTGGAAAACTGTAAAAATTTATAAATTATGGAACCCTAAAGCTACAGAAAGTGAAACTGTGAAGTGCATAATATCACAATTGCACATTTCTTTACAAGAATACTTGGAATGCCACTTTGTTGCTGATGTACTTACATGTACAAACAATACAAGCATCGATGGAATAAAATACAAACTTTTAACAGTGAAGTGATGAAAACTGAGCACAGTAATAGACCCGTGCGATGCTATACTTTTAATCAAATAGAGCATCGTCCTATGAAAATAATCTATGTAAGTAGGGAACAAAGAAATGAAGGACAGCAGTTGGGAAATGAGAGCAGGGATCAAAGAAGGATGATTTAAGTCTCGTGAAAGTAAAATCCTCCATTAACTATTTAACAACAACTAAAACAGGTCTGCAACACCTAAACCTAAAAATTAACGGTGCAAAAGTAGTAGGTCATATAGATAATGGTCCGGATTATTCAGTACTAAATTAAAATATATGGCAACAACTCAAGAGAAATGATCCAACAATTCAACCAAAAACTTGGAGTAAGGGCAACATGTGTCTTGCAGATGGAATGACAAACTGTCAAATGTTAGGGTATTTTGAAGCAAATCTATTTGTAACATATAGCTTTGTGGACTGTTGTTTTGTTGTTGTCAAAGATTTGCCTGTATCTTGTCTTATTGGATTAGACTTCATTCAGCAAAATGAAACAACAAATGTTCTTGAATTAAATGTACCATCTGTTAGGCATGACTTTGAGACTGAAAAGATGCTGATTGAAGAAGTACAACATTCACATTTAAAGAGTAAAGAATGTGGAAAAGTTAAAACAACTTATGTTGAAATATGCTGATATATTTAACAATAAACCTGGCCTCACAGATTTGTCTGAACATAGTATTGTAACCACAACAGAAAAGCCAGTTTTTAGTAAACCTTGTTGTTATTCTCCCACTAAATTACAAGTGCTACATGATCAAGTGGATGAAATGCTCCATGATGGGTTAAATGAATCCTCCAGTAGTTATTGTCAAGAAAAGGACAATATAAGTTATGTGTTGACTACAGAAAGTTAAATCAAGTCTCAGAAACTGACCACTATCCATTGTCTCATATAAGTGATATTTTGAATGCTTTGTCAGAGGCAACCTGTATCATTACATTAGACAAATACCTGTTAAGATGGAGGATCAACATAAAACTGCTTTCATAACGGATAACAGACTTTATCAATTTAATGTGATGTCTTTTGATCTTAAAAATGCACCTGCCACTTTCCAAAGACTTATTGATAAGGCTATAGCAGGAGCAACTGAATGTTCCAAGGCTTATATTGATGATAATATAGTGTTTTCACTCACATTTGAACAACACTTGAAAGACCTTGAATTGGTTTTCTACAAGCTACATACAGATAATCTTACTGTAAAAGTTTCTAAAAGCACATTTTGCCAAGAATAAGTATCATATTTAGGATTTAACCCTCTTCTAAGGGAATACACATAAATGATGTTACAGACTTTCCAACTCCAAGAAAATGCAAAGAGTAAAGCACATTCTTGGGTATGTGTATCAGTTCATTCTAAACTTTTCTACAATTGCTGAACCTGTATGTTAGTTACAAAGGAAGCGTATTAGATGGAAATGGATTCCCCAGTTTGAGGACCCATTCCGGAAATCAAAGCAGGCTTTAAGGGAATCCCCTGTCTTGCAACTTCCAAGAAAAGGTGAACACTAATTTTTTCATACTGATGCTTTAAATGTTGGATTAGAAGCAGTTCTGTGGCAAAAGGGTGTCATAGCATATGCCAATAGAACACTGAATTCTGCAGAAAGAAACTGTACTACTACAGAGTTAGAATATCTAGCCATAGTTTGGACTATAGAAATATTTAAGATATACTTAGATGGAGAAGAATTTACAGTTATAACTGACCATGCTGCCTTGAAATGGTTGCAGACAGCTCCAAAGTTAACTGGTAGATTGATGCTGTGGTCACTAAAATTACAAGACTTAACATTTGAAATACTGCATATTAAAGAAAAAGAGAACCAGTTCCCTGATGCCCTATCTAGACATCCTATTGACCCCCCAGAAGAAACTCCAGATTTGGACATCAGTAAGTTTTCGCCTAAACTTTTTGCCATTGTCAACGTTAACACTAGAGAACAGTTGACTACTGAGCAAGCTAAAGATGATGACTATATAAGCATATATACTCATATTTGAAAACTGGACAGTCACCAGATGATTCCAATATAATTGCTCAGATTGTAAGTAAATCCAAACACTGTGTCTTGAATGATAATGTTCTTTCTTTCATAGAAAGGGTTGCTAGCAATGGTGAATTCAGTCCAGTTATTCCCAAAACATTGAGACTGGCAATTTTAAATGAATTGCATGATCATCCTATGTCTGCTCATCTAGGTGTTTGAAAAACAATAGACAAAGTATCCAGACATGGTTATTGGCCTGGTATGAAAAAGTACATAATAAAAATGTGTTGTCATACCATGTTTGTCAAATCACTAAATTTGATCAGAAGTGGCCAGCTGGATTTATGCAAAGCACTAAACTAATGGAACCTGGCGAGATAATAGGAGTAGACATCATGAGGCTTGTACTAAGTCTAGGACAGGAAATAGTTACTTGTTGGTTGTGACAGATTATTTCAGTAAGTGGGTTGAATTATATCCTCTCAAACAAATAACTGTGAAGGTGATTGTCAATAAACTAATTAATGAATACTTATGTAGATATGGTATTCCTAAGACTTGTATCTGATAATGGCCCACAATTTGTGTTTCATTTGATGGATGAAACTTGGCAAGCTATGAGAAATAACACATCTTTACAACTCCATATCACCCTCAGTTTAACATTACTGAAAGAGTAAGTAGAAATATTGGTAGAATGACATCTGCTTATATTTGAAACAAATCATCAAACTTGGGACAATCATTTATCTGAGTTTTGTCTAGTCAATAAAACTTCTATTCATGAGTCTACAAGTTACATGCTAGCCAAATTTCACTTGGGATGTGAGATCTTCCTTCCTTAGGACTGACTGAGGAAATTCCCAACAGCATCTCAAAACCATTGATGAATGAACAGCAGAATTACAATATGTCATACAGAAGGCAAGATTCAACTTTTAAAAGGCTCAGAAGTGACAATGACAAGACTACAACTGGAAGAAATGCCTAGACACATTTAAAATAGGTAATTTAGTATTATTAAGGACACATCCTTTATCTTGTGCAGTAAATAATTTTACTGTAGAATTTGTCCTGAAGTGGAATGGACCTTTCGAAATTATGAAGTGTGTTACTCCATTAGTGTATGAACTAAAAGATCCTAGATCAGGTGCAACTACAAGACAATAATGACAATTCTCTCGACAGTGAAGAAGATAGTAACCATCTTAGACAGTGGTAGCAAAACGAAAATGTCAGCTACAGAAGATTTGATGGTTGTTCCCCCACAAGAAAAAAGGCTTCTGCTGATGTGTACACTTCCCATCTTTCAACGGATCCTGCTGATGTCTTACCTCTATCTCCTCCTCAAAGAACATTGCGACCATGTTGCAGAGTTAATTATTGTAGTTAGCTGGTTTTCAAAGTGTTAAACTTTCGTTAAGCCAAACCAGAAGCTGAAGATTCAAAATCGTGAATTGTATTTTCCTTCTTGTAAGGTATCTGTGCTTAAACTGTAAAGGATTCATGATGTCAGTATAAAGAGGTAGTTAAAAGTAAGGATCCCAAATTGGAATATTTTATATGAAGTGATTAACGTCAGTACTTTGTTTTTCAAGGGGGAAAGAGTGTGATATAGCAAATTATATTTTTTTATGATTATGGTTGTGTGTATCATTCATTTAATATTTCATTCTGTTGTTTAGTTTATCTATGACTTGTTAGTTGCATTAAAATGCTAACTCACCTTCTATATATATGTGTATGATGAAGCTAACTCCAGCTTCCCTAGCAGTGATGTACAGATACTATTAATGTAGCAGAAGAGTACGTAAATTGATGATCATATGAGGTTATACTCTCGTAACATGCTCTGTGAATAAATACCCTGCCAGAAGCTTTTCTATAGGAGAGAGAGAGTAACAAGATAGTTATTGGAGGGTATAGTTATTGCTGTTTATCACTCGATATTGTTATCAATATTGATATTGAAAGGTATTGTTTGAATATTGTATTTGCTGTATTTTTTTTTTGGAATTAGGTTTTTTTTCTTTCTGGTTCATTTTCCTGATTCTGTTCTTACAGATTTATTAATATTTATGATCATTTGTTGTGAAGTCCTGGCCAGACATTTGTTTATCAACTGTGTTGAAAAGTTTCTAAGTGTTGTTATTGTGAATAAATTGTGTTTTTGTTGTTGAACTCTGATTGTAGCAGCATGTTTATTTTAGACCATTACAGTTTCATTGTGGTCAGCTGAAGCCAGAAAGAGAATATTTCATACCTGAAGAAGACAGACTAATATTCTGTCAAAACATGTAGTACGTTCCCCCCAAAAATAAATCGTTTCATTGTGGTTATAAATCATTGTTTGCCAACTTATTATTATATTAACATAATGTATCTTTTTACTCTAATAACAATATTAAACTTTTCAAATTACAGTGTGTTTGCTAATTTCTTCATTTTTTAACTTTAGGTTATCATTCCCCAGTTACCTGCTTTTTACAACCAGTTCCAGTCTACCAAATTTAGTTGTAACATAGAACAGGCTAAACTGGTGGCTGCTGAACATACTCTCAATCAGCTGGGAATATCCATCCAAGGTAATTAATTTTATTTACAGTTGCATGGTTTATGATACATGCTTATAGAAACAAATATCTATATATTATTTATTCCAATATATTTTACCCCCTCTCACACAATAGCTTTTCTTCATTAATGTTGCCCTCTATATGCTCAATTTGTTTGCTTGCCACTACGCTTGATACTCCCACCTACCCCTACATGTTTAACGTGGTACAGCTGCACTGTAGCATGCACAACTCTCCTCCAACAGGAGCACGACACATTCTCCTGGCACAGGTGTCTCCCCCTGGATTACAGAGTTTAACCTCATTTCTAAGCACTTGAATGCCCTTTGATTTTTCAAATTTTTGCAAAATTTTATTTTTGTATTTATTTTTTGAACTTAAACAAATGTTTGACTTTGATATCCTATTTTGACAACAACTCGATTTTTAACGAGATATTTCATCTTGGAGTACTTATTCACTCAAAATTCAGTGATGAATTTGCAGTTTATTGTTACAACAACTTCAACTGGTACCAATACCATGTGACTACGGGTGTAATTTTATTAGCAGGAAATGGAGTTGTTCATGCATGCTGGGGGCTCTCTTGACTCTTAACCAGTTCTCCCCTACCCTGAAGATGGTGGACAGGAGGACAAAAACCTGGACAGCCTTTTCTCTCCTCTTTCCAATGCCATGCAGACTTTTTCAGTTGTGATTGATGCTCCTAGACCTTCATCATAGTTTTTAGAATGGGTAACACAGGTTTGTTATGTTTTGTCCTTATCCCCAGTGTCGTTTGACCCCTCCCCTTCCTTGTTACTTAACACATCTGCTCCTGAATGTTTTGTTTTTCCTCCCTCTCCCTATATCAGAGTCCATGCTGAGCATTTTACCGACCAATTGCATTTAGGGATTAGCATGCCATGTCCCCCTTGCTTTTCTTAGGCTTATGCTTTGGCCTACCATTCGACTTAGAATCCTTTTTTCGATTCTTTAATCCCAGTTGGGATTTGGACCCTAATATCTCAGTCCCTTTCTTCCAGGCACAGTTTTCCCACCTTTGTTTAACCATAACCTTCCTCCTTTTACCTCTCCTTGAGTCTCAGCTATAACTCCAAATAGTGAAGCTTGTTGTCTTCAGCTGACTCAAGTTTTTTTTCTTCACTTTCAAGAGATAGGCTTTAGGGATTAATTACACCATCTGTAAGTTATACTATTTTGATGTCTTCACTAAAGCTTTGTCTTAGTTTGTCTGTACCATCTGGTTCTTTGTTTAGCCATAGAAGATGCATTGATTGTGTTCAAGTCAGTCTTTTTTTTTTTTTTTTCTGTAATGAGACTGTGATTTCTGTAATCTAATTCATGATTATTATTGATTATGATATCCACATATTGTACTGTAATATAAAGGATTGAAACCTTTATCTCCTACAGTGGTGGTCTATATGATCGAGAGATTTTATTTTATGTTTTGTAATAATATTAAGATTTTTTTTTTGCAAACTGAATGAAAGCTTCTGTACTTTATAAAAAAAATTATAGTTTTGGTAAGAAAAATTACTGTGTGACCTTAACAAAACCCAATATAATAGCTAAGACTTAATAAGAAGGATTCCAGTTTTCATGTCTGCTTCTTATTTTTAATTAACAAGGAACTTATAATCCATTTTCAGTTTGTGAGTCGGTAGTTGTAGTTTGTTGTGAAATAATTTTATAACCAGTTTGAATCTTTGGATCATTAAATGGACTTTGGTTATGCTATAGGTAATTAGTTTATTATTAATATCAACCCTGTATTTGTAAAATGAAGGTACACAGCTATACACACTTTCAAATAACCTGTATTGATATGTACAAAACATTTAGAACCAGCTCATGGTGATGAAATTAGCATGGTCATTCATTTGAAGATGTTGTAATTGAACTTAATTTTACTGATAAAATATTAGTTCCTACAAAAGTAGATGATACCAAGTATGAGATTTGAAAATGTTTTAAAGTTTAAAATAAAGTAGAAATGCTTGCCTGAAAGTAATTTATTTTTAACATTAGTAGCAATACAATTCTACATATAATATTGAATTACATTCATCCCTAATTTCAGAATATGGTTAATATTTTTTTAATTTTACTACATTTGAGTCATAAAGCTTCTGTGATAATATAAATAGAAACACAATTTTATCTGCATAAGCTATGACTTTCAACAGATATAGAGCCTGTGGTGATGACTACTTCACTGACGCTAGAACCTCCTTGTGGGTTAGGAGCCACATATGGCCGTCCATTTAGCTACTTTCACCCTGATACAGCAAATACCTTGACCATGAACAATGGTAGAGGTGATGCCTCTAATGTTTTAGTTTCTTCTTGCACTTCATCTTCCTCACCACTAACCAGTATGTTCAGTTCTTTGATGGCCAACTTATCAGATTCATCACCCTGTAAGTTAGTATGTTTATATAGATATAGATATATATATATATATATATATACTGATACAGTAATATTAAAATATTGTGAATGTTACTGTAACAACAATTATGACAAGGTGGAGCAGAAAGAAAACCTTCAAACTAAAATTATTATTGTGCACAAAATATATATTTATCATACATCTCTTTTTCTCTGAAGTAGGTATAGTGGATTTGAGATGAAATATTGACAAATATTCCACTCCTTTGTAAAATCATTTAATTTTGTTTATGTTAAACTTGATAGATTTATGCAAATACTTGCTAGGCCATAACATCAACACTTGCCAGACACACAAACAATCATATAATATCACATATGGCCAACACACACTTATACTGTATGAATCTATAAGTATGACCCACACATTTTTTAACAGTTATCATTTTCAAATTAACATCTGTTATGTGTTTTATAAATGAATATAACACTTCATAACAAATCTAACTATTTGCATGGAACATAAGCTTTATTGTTTATTTTTAATGAAATGTTATATAATAATGTTTTACTAGATTTAAAATATATAATCCTATCAAAAACAAAAATGTATGAAGATTTAACACATATTCATGAAAACTCAAATGATATTTTTGTTAACATACTAAGAATTAAGTGTTGTTGGTCTTGGTTCAGATTCCTCCATGCAACACCCCAATTAAACTTGAAAACCTGTGCACATTTTTTGCATAATGTAAAACATTTTGTCTTTTGACATACATGTCAATCCCAGCTTACTTAATTATCTCTGGACTATCAACCTTAATATACTAGAGGTTAGCAGGGGTTTTATTTAGGAAAGTTCAAGTGCTGGGTGCAGTCAGGTTCTTCCATCTCTTATGCAAAGGGTGGAGATGTTGAAGACTTAATTGTACTTTATTTTAAAGAGACAATATTCATAAGTTAGTGAATTTGATTTGTTGAATATAAAGAAATCACATGAAAAATTATTCCAAATGGCACCACCAACTATTTTAAACAAGTTTACCTCATGCACAACAGTGCAACAGAAATTAAAATGGGCAACAAAAACTTTAAAGTATGAAAATTTTTTGTAGCTACTCAAGCATCACTGTGCATCAGGAATCAAAACAGACAACAAAAATTCAAAATATGGAAACTTTCCTTATCTAATCAAAAATAACAGTGGAACAGTAGATCAGATGAGAAAACAAACAAGTTTAAAGTATGGAAACTTTCCCTAGCAGCATAATAGTACAACAACAGATCAAAACAAGCAACAAAAAGTCTAAAGTCAGAAAGATTTTCCTAGGTAATTAAGCATAATAGTACAACAGGAAATTAAAACAGACAATAAAAGATTTAAAATATGTTAACTTTCCATGGCTATACAAGCATAACAGTACAATAGTAGATCAAAAAAGAAAAAAAAAAGATGGAAACTTTTCCTACATACCAAAGCATAATAGTACAACAGTAGACTGAAACAGGCAACAAAAAGTTTAAAGTATGGAAACTTTATTTAGTAACTCAAGAATAGCAGTACTACAGTGAGTGAGAATGTGAAAACAAAAAAGGTTTAGTGTATAGAAACTTTCTTTAGCTACTCAAGCATAGCAGTAAATCAATAGACCAAGAAAGGAAACAAAAAGTTTATAAAGTGTGAAAAATTTCCCTAGGTACTCAAGCATAGCAGTTAATCAATAGACCAAGAAAGGAAATAAAAAGTTTATAAAGTGTGAAAAATTTCCCTAGGTACTCAAGCATAGCAGTTAATCAATAGACCAAGAAAGGAAATAAAAAGTTTATAAAGTGTGAAAAATTTCCCTAGGTACTCAAGCATAGCAGTTAATCAATAGACCAAGAAAGGAAATAAAAAGTGTGAAAACTTTTCCTAGCCACTCAGGCATAACAGTACAATGGTTATTCAAAACAGACAATTATAGGTGAAAAGTATGGAAACTTTTCCTAGCAACTCATGCATAACAGTACAACAGTAGATCGAAACAGACAATTAAAGGTTTAATGTATAGAAACTACACAGGCATAACAGTACAAGTACATATCAAAACAGGAAAGAACAGGTTTAAAGTATGGAAACTTTCCTTAATTATACAAGAATAATGGTACAACAGTAGATCAAAATATAAAAAGTTAAAGTATAAAAACTTTCCATAGCTACCCAAGCATAACAGTACATTAAAACAGGCAATAAAAGGCTTAAAGTATGGAAACTTTCCATAGCTACCAAAGCAAAATAGTAACTATATACATATGACAAAAGTTTTAAACTGTAGAAACTTTCTGTAGCTACTCAAATAAATCCACAAAACAGGCAATAGAAGATTTAAAGTATGGAATCTTTGCTTAGCTACTCAAGCATAACAATATAACAGTAGATCAAAAGAGAAAACAAAAGGTTTAAAGTATGGAAACTTTCCTTAGTCACCTAAACATAATAGTACAACAGAAGATCAAAAGAGAAAACCCAAATTTAAAGTATGGAAACTTTCTCTCATTACTCAAGCATAACAGTGCAGTAGTAGATCAAAACAGGCAACAAAAAAGTTTAAACTATGGAAACATTCCTTAGCTACTCAATCAAAGCACAACATGAAAGTAGCAGATCAAAACAGACAACAGTAATTTTAAAGTAGGGAAACTTTTCTTAGCTATCCAAACATTACAGTACTACAGTATATTATAGCAGGAAAGAAAAAGTTTAAGATATGGAAACTTTTCTTAAATAATCAAGAATAACATAGGAACAGTAGATCAACAGATGAAACATTAAAGTATGAAAACTTTCCCTATGCACCCAAGCATAACGGTACAAAGTAAATCAAAACAAGCAATAAAAGGTATGAAAATCTTCACTATCTACCAAAGCATAAAGTACAACAGTAACTAAAAACAGACAGTTGAAGTTTAAAAGTGCAGTAACTTTCCATAGTTATACAAGTAAAACTACAAAGCAGAAGTTACAAAACACACTTATCTCCTCTCACATTTTAGCTTTTTCCCAACTGAAGTTTCTCTTGTCTGCCCATCTAAGCATCTTTCTCCAGCTTTTCTATCCCGCTATATTGCCCTTAGTAATTTAAACCATGTGATTCTTTCCAACTACATCAAATTGCCTCTGTACCCTGTACTTTCCTTATTCACTTTTCTCAATGGCAGAACATTACAATAGTTTTCCGTGATTGCTGCAGGTTTCTCTTATGTATTGTGTAACATTAAACATACCTATTTTTGGACGATTTTTTTTTTACCCATTTTTCTTGGGTTTTGAATTTTCTGTCTATTTTCTTTAATTTCCAAAAAAAAAAATTCTGAGACGTTTCATATATGAGTTGTGCATGGCTCTTCTTTTTGGTCATTGTCTTCATTTTAATGACCAGGGAAGAGGGTTCTTAACTCCTTGTAATCCTGCATGTAGAGTGTCACTTCCTGTGGCATTGGTGGGAGTTAGTTTGTTCCACATCCTCCTCATAATTCTGGGGCAGGAGGGGTTGCCTTGCCTCTCTGGTTAGGGAGTTATGATTTTGGTTCATAATTCCAGACCCAGTAATCTCTATTTTTTCAAGTTAAGTGAGTCGTGACAGGTCCCTTAATTCTGAGTTCAGTTTGTTGCATTTTGTGCTTCTTCTGTGCTGGGGTGAGGGTTTGTCCACTTTGGTGTTGCTTGCCTTCTCTTGGTAATTCTGGTGGCTTAGCATGCAACATTCTGTAACTTTCAGGTTGGGTTCCAATAATACCACATTACTAAACAAGGCCAAAAACTAAAGTGGTGCTCATGCCCTAACCACTACACCTTGGTTCCTGATTTGGGTCCACAGCCCTGTAATTCTAATGACAAGATGTGGGACTTTATCTGCCTGGGTGAATTCCTGTTCTTCTAAAGATGTTAGGATTTTGTCTTTGTGGCTGATTGGCCTTTAACACCCAGAAATTACCAGGCAAAGAGCATACCTGTTCTAGAAGTAGTATGGACCCTACTGGTGTGCTATTACTATATCTCATTTTCATATGCCTCTTTTCTACACAGACGCTTTCTGTGTGGACCTTGCCCCCTCCACCTTGTCAATGTGGGATTCTAGTTAAAGTGTGAGAGGAAGTAAGTGTGTTTCAGAAGTTAACATGTTCCTATACAGAAAATGTATTTCTGATAATACTTACCTCCTCTCTCACACTCCCCCTACACTTCCTCCCAATGAAATGGCTGGTTTCAAGTCTGTAAATCTGGACTGTTTCGAAAAGTGAATAAGAAGTAATAATGGGAAACTTATATATGGATCTGGTATAGAGGGCTTTTGACATAGGTGGAAAGAATCACAAGATTTGAATATAGTGGGGTATGAAGACTGGAGCAAGTGAGGTAAGATTCATACCAATGCTTAGATGGGCAAAGAAGAGAAACTTTCATCAGGAAAAAGCTAAAGTTTAAGAAGAGGTAAGTATTATAGAAAATACATTTTTTGATATAGGAAAATGCTAACTTCAAAATAGGCAAAAAAAACTTTAAAATATCAAACTTTCCTTAGTTATTGAAGCACAACAGTACAACACCAGATCAAAAGAAAAAACAATGAGAATTAAGTATAGAAACTTCCCTAGCTGCCCAAATATAACAGTGCAACATTAGATAAGAAGAGAAAACAAAACATTTAAAGTACATAAACAATTCGTAGCTATTCATGATAACAGTACAACAGGAGAACAAAACAGTAAAAAAAAACTTAAAGTAAGGAAACTTTCCTTAGCTACTCAAGCATAACAGGAAAACGGTACATGAAAGGAGAAAACAAAAATGTAAAGTACTGAAACATTTCCTACCCATCCAAGAATAACAGTATATCAGTAGATCAAAACAGGCAATAAAAGGTTTAAAGTATAAAAAAAACATACTTACTCAAGCATAAGAATACAAGAGTAGATCAAAGGAGAAAGCAAAAAGTTTAAAGTATGGAGACTTCCCTTAGGAATTAAAGCATAAGAGTAATAAAGAAGATCAAAACAGGTAATAAGAGGTTTAAAGTTGGAAACTTTCCCTATTTACTCAAGCATATCAGTTCAAGAGTAGAGAAAAACAAATGTTTAAATATTGAAATTTTACCTAGCTACTCAAGCATACTTTTATGCTAGGGTAGCAAGGGAAAATTTGTATACTTTTAACAGCAGATCAAAAGAGAAAAAAAAGTATGGAAATTTTCCCTAACTACCCAATCATAAGAGTACAAGGGTAGATCGAAACAGGCAACAGAAATTTTCAAATACAGAAACTTTCCTTATCTACTGGACATTATTTAATATTGGACACTGAGGTGCAAACTCTAAAGCTTTTTCTAACCTTTTACTTTAATGCTTTTTCTTAATAATTTTTCTTAGTATAGGATGGGTAGTCATTAACTATTCATTTTAGCCTTAAAATCCTTAGTACATTAGTTAAGACTTATAAAAACTTCTCCCTCTTACAAGGTTTCCGACTGATGGTAAAAAACAAATAATCTAAAACAACATTATATTGTAGTTTAAGCATGTAAGCAAAGAATGATTGTTGTTCAATGCATTTTGAATAAGTTTAGAATATGACCTGAGATTATTGTAAGACAATATCAATTTACACAAGCTTTTCTTAATTAATCCTGTGATGGAACCTTATACAGTTAGTAAGGGCATCAGTCACAGATCACAAATGTGATCTCTTTTCATTTTATGAAATCTCACTCAAATTACATGTAAAGTTTATAGATTGATAGCATTAAAAATGTTAGTTCTTTCATCATTATCAGATATATATTTTAAACTAGACTTTAATCTAAAATCCACATTATGTTTGAAGAAAATATAACCTAAATATGGTTGTCAAGATAAGAGTTATCTGGTATTCCTGTATTTTATAGTAGGCCTACATATTTTTAACTTCCATGCCAACTTTTAAAGTAAGTTTTGAATTCTATATTTCAGTCTAGTGAAAGACTACCAAGACTTGCTTTAATACCTATTGCTTACTATAAAGGCTTCATTTAAAGAAATGGAGGAGAAAAGTTTTATCAGCATTAACAGTGTTAGTATCTAGCAGTTTACCACAAATGTCAACTTTATATCTTTTAGTTTGTTTTTTTTCTCTGTATTTGGAGTTGTCATTTGAATTGACATTTCTGCTTGACTTCATTTTTTTAATAAACATTCATCTTAGCACATTTTGAAATTGATTGCATCATCTGTTTTGTCATTTCTATTCTATAAAAACATTTTAAAAAAATTAGATATGCCCTGAGTATAGGTATGAGAATACTGTGTTTGTGTGTGTATTGTATATTTTTTAATATGTTAATATTCTAAGTGTACAAAAAATACAAAGAGACAAGAATTACACATTTAACTTTTGAAACTTTTTCAGCTTATGAACATTACTTCGAACAGATTCCACCATCTCAGCTTCATCTACCATACTGAAACCTGTCAAGAATTGTTCATGCACCAGAAAGTTAACTCCATTCTACATTTATACTGACTTTTTAAATTGAGTTACACATATATCAGTAACGTAAATACCAGTTTTCAAGAGAAATGAAAAACATAGTATGCATGGCATAGTTACCTTCTATATTGTAATATCAGTTTTGTTAATTTTTCGTTATTTCACCTATCATTAGAATTTATTCTGAGACACTTATTCAACTTTATTTAAAATTTCAACATAAAATGATTCATTACATTGATTCACTTAATTGTTTTGTCCATCTTTTGCTAATTTGTATTGACTATTTTTAACTTCTTTAACTTTTTTTACATATTATTTACCAATAAGTAGTTGAGGTGTCCTTATCTCTTACCTACTTACATAAATTTTGAAAGAAACACATCATCATAATTTGAATACATTCTATGAACAATTCAATTTAAATGTTGGAAATAAATTTTTCTCACAGTTATTTAAAAGTAAGTTGAATTTTGTATGATATTTGAATTCAAGTTGTTACTTCAACAAGTTTCACTTATAATTCTGAACATAGAAACATAGTAGAGAATTTTTATTAAAATGCTATCTCTGGTAGTTTTAATACTGAAAGTAAACACAAGATGTGAAAATATTTCATAGAAACTATCATATTGTTGAAATGTGTTTGGTTTTATTTTTAATGTATTTACTCAAGGTTGTGAATTTTTTAATATAGTATTGTTTTAATTTCAAGACTTAAGAGCCAAAAGTATGGCAAAAGTTTAATTATATTACATGTATGTATTTAAATACAAGCTTTGTTGGTATCATGGGTGGAGATCATACATTTGTGTTTAAAATGTAGCAACCAATTCATAGCAAAGAATAGATTAACTTTTCCTTTTAGTTATCTATTCTAATGTTCTAATAAACATCAAATTATCAAAAGAAGAAAAAAATAAGGCTGATTGAAAAATTTAGGTAATTTTAAGAAATCAAAAAAGCTTTGAGAAATCACTGATTACCAATTGAGTTAAGTTTCTAATAAACTACAAAATATTTGAGGAAATCATTGATTACTAATTCATCTAATTTTCTGCTACACCATAAATTATTCTGAATAAATGACTAATTAAGAACTTTGAAACTACCAGATTAACATCATTCATTACTGTAGAATTCTAAGTTATATGAGAAAATAATTAATTTTTGCAAAAAATGGCACTAGTTGTTCTCTCACAAACACAAGTTCATAGTTAATACATAAATAATTCTTGCATGCATATCGAAAAATGAAAAAAAAAACACTAACTTTTAGACTATGTTACAGATAATAATGGTTTAAATTTCTATATAAAATTTAATTCAGTTGTTTTTATATACAATAAAATATAATCAATCTAATAATAAGATACTTTAAAAAATATAAAAAAACACTATAAATGTAACATTATTATTAGATTAAATATTCTTGATGCCAGATGGTTCTTGTTGTCAAAGTTAACCCATGTTTTATGAAAAAAATATCAACTAATAATTCTTTACCTTAAATAAGAAATTCATTAGATCATGATTTTTTACTATAAAAACGTCTAACCAATTCATTTTTAAAATTATACTTGAAGACAGAAATAACAGTTTAGTAAATGTGTTTACATAGCTCTCTTAAAATACTTTGTTAGCAATAGTTCTGTTTTCTTTTTTTATCAAACTCTTTACTGATATTTTAATACAGGTAAATTCCCAGTATTTTTATCAACAGTGACTAGTCTGTATTATAATTTATTTAGTTAAACAATGCACATTTATGTCTTATCTAAAATTTGCATGTATCAAATGCAAAAGATTACAAAAAAACATAATAGTCCATGTTTGATTGGCACTTTTAGTTGTAACAGTTACTTCATTGTAACTTAATCCTTGATATTACATCAAAATTCACTCAAAAATCTTAAAACCACTGCAAACTGACACCAACCTTATGGTTCATATTGGAGTTTTGAGTTGGAATAGTGTTCTTAGCTTAGACTTACAGAAGACATGTTTTAACTTAAATGTTTAAACAAGCTATATTCTGTAAATTACTAAAGGTAGGTGATACCACCTGTGTTTGGTTTATGTTTCCTAACAAATGGTTTATGGTTTATTTGGAGTTTGCATTAATAAAGTTTGATTTTAATGAAACTGATGGCTTACTTTTTTTTAAATATTAAAATATTACCACATGGATTAATGATCAAGTACTGTTAACATGAGAATAAGCTAACAAAAACCTTTAGACATAGGGAAAAATAGAAATGGATGTAACTTCAAAATAATATCTCAGTATACTTTACTGATGACAAGCTCAACACAACGAAGACTATAAGTATTGTACATGTTAATCAGACACTTTATTTAGTGGGTTGTAATAAACATACAAGCTACTAAATACTAACAGTGACCAATAAGTTATTGTACATGCTAGTCAGATACTTTATTTGATCGGTAGGTTTTGATAAACATACAAGCTATCAAACACAACAATGACCAATAAGCTATTGTGCATGTTAGTCAGACACTTCATTCAAGAGTTTTTATAAACATACAACTGGCAAGATGCAGAAATGTCACACATCACAAAAATATGTGTTTTCCATGGAAATCAGCCAACAATGAAGATAAGGAAGGAAGCAAAGATTTAACCTTAAAAATGGGATACGGTATAGCTTTCTTTGGTATTCACACATTATTAAAAGCTGGATCACAATTATTAAACTGTTTGCATTTAATGTATTTGGTAATTGGAAATATTCAAAATCAGTAGATAAAATAACAATGAAATCAACTTGGTATTAATATTTGATCTCGAGGCCAAGTTGAAATTAAGAATATAAAGAATGTCACTTTTGACAGGATGTTTGAACTTTGGTTTGACATTCTATCTGTACAGCATAAAAAGTTAATGTGAAGTATTTAAAGATTGAAGCTTATTCTGTTAAGTGATGTATTCAAGCAGAACTTTCCTTATATCAGTCACAAAAAATGCATTTATGCAGGTGTAAACCATACATGGAAAGTCACAAGGCTTAGAAATAGCTCGTAAAATGCAAAGTCCAGATTTAGTATGTCAACAACTTAGGATAAACGAAGTACAATCATGAAAGTTATGGTTAACCAATGAATAGTGTTGGTGTATATTTGATATTAGTTTTATGAGATATATCTTCCAGATGGAAGAAACTGATTTGATTCTGCACCAATACTGATTAGGTCTTAGCCAGTCATTTTAGAACTTAGAAAACCAGTAGCAAGACCATTTAATAATAGTTATATATAAAAGTTGTGGTAACCATTATAGTAGGATCCCATTTCAGTTCAAGTGCAGTCCAGGCTACTAGTCCATCAATCTGGGTAGGGCATTTTTCCTCAGCATAGAAAGTTTAAGGTTCATTTCCAGTTATGTCTTTTGTCAACTAATTCTGCTGTAAAGAGTAGCACCATGGTGGGCTTAATTGTTGGAG